CAACCAATCGTATTCACTTAACGCTAATTACAACCAACATCTGAATTGCAGTTAACTTGAATTGCATTACAGTTAACTGGAAATGATTTGCAGTTAACTTAAAATTCATTCAAGTTAACTGCAAATGTTTTCGAATTAAGCCGAAATAGACATAATTGAAATAGATTTGCAGTTAAATTTAAATAAATTACACTTAACTCAAAAACAAAATTTTAATTGCAGTTAACTGCAATTGAATTCGAGTTAACTGTAATTGAATTAGAGTTAACTGTAATGCATTACACTTAACTGTAATGTATTGCAGTTAAGTCGAATGTATTACAGTTAACTGTAATTGAATTACAGTTAACTGTAATGCATTCGACTTAACTGCAATTCAAAGGTAAATGATAAAACAGCTTGCCATACGCACTACACGTGTACGAATTTATTCGGTTGTTCATATTTTTAAACTTTATTATTTTCTACAGTCATGATTTTTTCGTCGATCATGGCATCCAAGCAACAAAACTAGTAGGTCATGGTGGAGGTAACGTCGGGGAGAATGGAAAGGTCGCTGGTATGTCAGTCAGTCAACAGCGCGGAACACTTGAGAAAATAAAAAATAAACGCTACCAGGTATTGTAAAGTGTTTTTTTTTTTGTTTTTTTTTTTTTTTATTTATTTATTTATTTATTTATTTTTTTTTTTATTTATTTATTTATTTATTTATTTTCATTTGTTACTTAACTACATTACTACAGGTGGCCTATAATATGATTCATATTTTCTAGTTCGAAATAATTCAATATCCAGTAAGCTTGATATTGAATTCAATTGTCGAACTGGAAAAAATACTTTTTTGAACATTGACCTAGGTTTTTTGTACATGTAGGGCCTAGGCCTAATCCTTTTATTTCTTTTCTTAATATAAAGTATTTTTTGTGTGTATTTCTTGTTACTGGCAGTTGGTTTCACAAAGAAGTGTAAAATCATTTCATGCCAGTAGGCGCAAAATATAATAATAATAATAATAGGCGTGAATCCAGGGGTGGGGTTCGGTAGGGGTGGGGGACAGGCCCAACCCCTCGTCAGGGAGAAGAAACAAAAATGTATGTGTAGTTTCTACAGATAAGTAGACCCAAAATCGATTAATTAAGAGCTTAAAACTCCCAAATTCTCATATTTTTCGGGGGCTTCGTCCAGATGGCCCACTTTCTGACAATTTGAACGACGCCTGACCACGCCTACTTTTCTCGTCGGGGACCTCTGACCTCGCGTCGGGCAAATCCTTGCGCCACCACTACACGAATCATAACATGCTTACATGGATCAGAACAGCAGGATAAACTCTGTTCTACTTAAAGACTTCTGAGGTCTTTAAAGTGCAATGCATTAAGGAAGCATTCTCCGTTCCAAGTCGGATATGTACAGTAAATTGTTCAATGCTGATATCAATAAATAAACAATGCTCTTTGCAATCACATAGATGAATAATTAAACAGTTAAAACAGGTCGGTCAAAAATATTTCCGTAGATTCATGAGTGCTTTTTTAAAAGTCCTTATTTTACAAATTCTGCCATGGGAAATGTATTTACAGTATTAACAAATGATAAAATTGTACAAGCGAGTACAAATCTTGGGAAAGCAAGATCTATAAAAAAAAAAATTAAAATTATATACTTTCTTCTCAAGGTCATTATAGCTACGAGCGTCGCCGAAGAGGGAATTGACCTTCCAGAGTGTGATTTAGTAATTTTACTTTATACACCATCTACAACAACATCTCTTGTGCAATTGAGGGGACGAGCTAGAAAAAAACATTCGAGGTAATTTTCATTTTTACAAAGTTTCCTGTTTTTTTAAAACTTTACATACAAGGTGGGATTTATTGCAATCACTATACTAAGGCTTGTTTTCTTGTATCGAGACCTACAGTACAGTACATAATTGTAAGATGGCGATGAGGATGATGAACATGGTGATCATGATGATGATGATGATGGTGATCTTGATAATGATAAAAGAAGTATATACTACGAAATTTAAAAGAAAATTAAAGCCTCTAATTATAAATATAATTAGGTTATTGATTCCATGTTATCATCATTATCTATAATGCCACTTTTGCAGAATGGTTATCCTTCAGCCAGATGCAACACGTAATGATGTGGACGCCCTGTTGGATAAAGAAGCAAGAATGGAGAAAGCTATAACAAACATTTTTAATCAACAACGGAGGAAGAAATTGGAAGAACACAATACGTCTAAATGGCGTAGTGTATTTGACGAGGAGAGAAGTTCCCGACGAGAGAGCCAGACATGCGAAGCGGGATTTTCGGTTACGACCATAGGGGGATTCTGGTGGAATCATCAGTAATGCTGCAAAGAGTTCCCCAACAATTGGGCCACCATACTCCTTAATTCATACTAAATATACCAACCGCTTGAATGTGTGACCGCAACAGAAATTGTTTTTTAGTAATGCTTTTTTATGGGCCCCCCTCCAACTTTTTGGCACAAAATATATAATTTCTATGGAGATTTTGTATGATCTTTTTGGGGTTCTTTTGAAAAATTGTTTCCCCCCCCCCTTCTAA